ACTCTATCGATGATTTTAATTTTATTGTTAATATGATTTATGACTTACATAATTTGCCATTATAGAATATAGCCTTAGAAATTAATAATTTTTTATTTGTTTGCGAATCGAAATAGACATTTTTAACGTTTCTTTATGTCTGGCCCATGTTTAGTCATTTTTAACTACATAATGCTTGAAAGGTTAAATGTATGAAAGAAAACATTAATTTTTATTACAATTAGTATTATATAATATAAAGCTTCAGTTTTATATTCGACGTTCCACTTTCCCTGGCCCTTTTTTATATAGGATAAATCCCTATATAAAACAGGGACAGGGATAGTCCCTGCACTACATGTATTCGTCGGTCGAAATAAAACTAGTCGAGCAAAGCTGCCCGCAATACCTAACTACTACCTACATATTAGGCTACATTTTGTTAGCCTCAAATAAATTAAGTGCATTTTTGTTATTTCCATCACAACACACTACAAACTTGACACCGGCAATGAAAATAGAATTAAAAAGTTGCATATTATTAATAAATACTTGAGTCAGCCGAACTTAAAATTAGGAATAGTAATTATCTAGCGTAACTCGTAAGCAACTGTGCCAAGTGGCAGGGGTCATTCGGATTGTGTCGATCGACGCGAATGTGTATATTTTAGCTCGCTTTTATGTGTAGCTTTAGGGTCCCGCAAATGGCCCGAACGGACCCTGAGTCTGCGCTGTCCGACAGTACATTTGTACGTCTTATATTTTAAAAGGAAAAATTAACAAAATAACAGTAATTCTACAAATGGAACATGTTTCGTAGAGTTCTTTTTGTTATTACTTTATCGTAAAAGCATGCTACATACAAGCTCATATCTGCGTTTATAGAAGAAATTCTAAAGTACACTTTTTGTTATTGTAAATAAGTAAAGTGTCAGTGTTACGGAACCATTTTTTTATAAAGATGACTGTGTGACGCCGTGGCGGCGCACCTGGCGACGTCTGCAGTCACGGAGCCTTCGAGTTGGACCATCGCTAAAAGCGAATATCTATTTACAATGGTTATATTATATGATGCGTCCATTTAGTTAAGACGAAAGCAAGCTGTCGAGAAACTACGCCAAATTTGGCGAAAGAGAAAGATCAAAGCGCATGACAAATTGTCTATGTTGGCTCCGCAAAGGACATAGCGTGATTACTTGGCACACACATTTTTATTCATGAAAATAATTTTTAATTCAATGAATGAAAATGCACATACATTAAATATTTTACAGTATGATGAGAACGACATTGCAGTTGTAACGTGACATGCGGAGTTATTCTAATGAGTATATTGAAATATAATATAAACAACAAGTAAACATTACTGACCAACAAACCCAAGGAAATTCGCGGCATTCTAACATTGTACGTATATACAAAAAAATGTTTAATTTGCCATTCATTAGATTAGGCAAGTTTTATTTGTATTTATCTTGACATTATCATCATAAACATATGAATATATTTTTATCTAAAGGGCCAACAACGCTTCAGCACTGTCACTGCAGTGTGCTCAGCGCTGGTGCCATAACATTCACACCATAACTATCATACTTTAGATTTGTTTCATTTTAAATTCTTTGAAATTAAATTGTAAGTGCATTTTTTCACGTATTAAATGCTTAAAGCAAAAATATTGCTAATTAAAATAGCAACTCAATTGAATTATTCCATGTTTCAATGTAATTTGTTGTATGAAAAAGGGCATAGCAATGTTTACTTCGAGTAGTTTTTATAAGGGCATAGTCGGAGAGTTTTTGCACACATTAAGGAATATTCAATTATTTAATTCTCGAAATTACAGTTCACATGACATTGTAATTGCTCGTACTGAGCACTGTGACCATACCTCCTCAATCCTCCATATAAACCTGTATTTTTTATCCTTTACTAATATGAAATATTTCTAGGAACCTCCTTGTGTATATTTTGAACAAAACTTTTGTTTTGGAAACAAATTGGAATATTTACTAGAACAATGTTTAATATTTAAAGTTCATTCAATGTGTCTGCCTTATACAGGCTGTGGGACTGTACTGTTGCTGCACTACTTACAATGTATTTATTGGTGATAATAAAACATGACTGATATAAATATTTTACTTAAAAACTATCAATTTTGAAAAATTATAAGAATTTAATTAATAAAGGTTTTTGAATTTAATAATACTCATGCTATTAATTTAACATTATTATTTTAGACAAACTTATATGAATAATTGAAGTAAAGCCTAGTGATATAAGTGTTAGAAACCTACACTTGAATGCAAAAGAGAAACCAAGTCCTGTATTGTCATTATAAATAAGTAGGCTCAAGCCATAAAGAAATGAGCGGCTCTGTAACAAATTTACATAATGAGTGGGGCTGGAGACATTACCTAATGTGCCTATTTAAGATTTAAAAACAACACATAGAGTATTGCTGAAGTTTAGTGAGAGTTAAGAGTACTGCTCGTGGACAACCCATGACTCCATTAAACTGGACACAACAGGTGTCAAACTTTTCCAATTAGTTATTAGGATTTCTGTCTTCTTTCAGACTAATCTTGAGTATTCACAAACTTAATTATTAACTCATGCTTCAAGCACCTATGTATGAATATGAAGTAGGGTCACTTTCTATTTAATTATTTTTATTTTTAACCACAATAATCTCCTAGAAATTTTAAATTTCAAACAATAAATAAACCTATTCTATCATGAAGTTTGTTTGTTAAGTAAAATTATAAGATAAAATGAAAAAGGTTAATGGTACAGTCACATAAAACCCAAGCCACACTGTCAACTGCAATGACTCATATAATGTAAGTAGGTATATGATTCTAAACTTAACACCATACAGTATATAATATACAGTGTGAGTAATGTTTAGCCACATATAACATACATATGTAGCGGGGAAATAAAATGACTTATTAGTTAGCACACTAGCACATTAATTGGGAGAAACAGGTTCAAGTCCAATTAATTACTGTCATGTTTAGTGATAATTGGTGATATACTGAGGGAACTAAAGCATGTTAAGGAAAACTTTAAATCATATATAAAATATACATCAATCCTTAATTGAACATAATATTAAATTAAACGAATACTCAACATTGGGCAATATTTTTAGATTATTGTAATATATAAACTAATTGCAATATTTGATAGCAAGATTCAAGCCAGGGGACGCTCTTAGTATCTTAATAATTCCTAGAGGAGGATTGGTATCTTGTGTCTTTACAAGGGTGGGCCTTTGCTTGTGAAGCATTTGAAGTATTTAATTATGGCTTGCACTCGCACTTTGTACTACACATAGCACATAAGCAACTAAATGGAGGATGAAATATCGCTCAGCACGAGATAAAACTTTTATATATTAAGTCACATCCAAATGTGCCTTCTTTGTATATTCTTCCAAAGATACTAAAAAATAGAATAAAAAAAAAATATGTTCTTGACATAGTGAATGATGAAATGTGCTTTTATTGCCAACAACAGTAAAAAGAAATAAGAGGAGAATTAAAACTGTGTCAATAGAGGACAATTTAATGAGAATGGCATTTAAATTTTATTGATTACTTAGCTGGTAATTAAATTACAATAATTGCTCATTATTCCCTTCAATTTTTATGTCAAATTGCTACTGAAGATTGTTAATAAAAAAACTTGTAATATTTGAGTATACATAGTATGCAAATAATCAATATAAATCAAATGCAAAATATGATTTTATGAGGTTAGTGACCTTTGTTTGAAGTTACAATATGGCTTGCATAAATTATCCTTTTTATTAATTTTTTTTAATAATTAATTTCAAACAACAATAAATTCATTTTAGTTGAATTACAAACAACAGAAACATTAAATAGGTTAACTTAGAGCCTTTTTGGTCTTGTACATATAATGAATGGTAACCTGCAATAAAGCAAATATTTGAGATGAAAGTCAGCCACATGGTTTTAGAACAATTTTTAATCGGTAAAACAGTGAGTTGATACTTATTTTTTTGTGAGCAGCCCTGAAACTACAAAATGGATTCAATTTGTGGTATTAGTGAAAATTATATTTGAATTGATGCAAAATAATCAATATTTAGTGAGCATATACTTAAAATTCTCCATGCATAATCATTGCTTGTACTCGAATGATAAAAAAGGTGTTTTACAACAGTATCATGTGACACTTAGAAGTTCAGATCATTAATGAGCATTCTTTTTAATTGTTACTTTTTTATAGCATTGTTGCTTCCGTTATAATTTATGATATATGATAGTACTGAGCTTTGAGATAATGTTTATATTATGTACTTTGAATGAAACTTTTATAAACAACATGTTTCTGACAAGTATGTGTAAAAAGTTTGAGGTAGAGTATTGGCATATATATTCTGAATGGATTTGTGAGGATTGAACATCACCTGGACATGGGGTGGTGGTGGTAGTGGGCCTCACAGGCACCACAACATCACATGCACCACTTCACTCTCTGATTGCACTTTTACCACTAATTACTGCTATTTATTTACCAGTTAACTTGAAATTGCTGCATTTAATGGGTCATAGGACACACAGGGCGACTAGGTATCTTTCGCAGGGGAGTCACGACGCACGGTACACATTTTGTTTCTCACACTCGGCTCACAAGTAGCCAATCGATACTTTTCGAACGTCCGACCGCATTAACTTTTCATCCACTACACTCTTAGCACACACTTATGGCGTAAATCACGACCTAACCTCAAAATGCTCACTTTAATTAAACGATTGACAAACACAGATGATTCCGAAGTAGCAAATTAGCGTCCCGATACAAACACTGCACGAGCGTCGCGTGAATCTCACAAAGAACGCGACAAGTGACCACATCAGGTCAACGTTATGGATTTGTGGGCGAATGCTTTGTTTGAGACGGACGTAGTTACAGCCTTCGCTGCACTGTACCGACTGTACTGTGCACTGTATAGGTAGGTAGGCGCGACGTTAGCTATGTTATGTGTAGAGCACGGCATATATGCACCTAGCGAGCGAGCCCTCTCGCGCTGCCCTCGCACAAAGGGCGACGCGAGTGCAGTAGTGCAATCCGCGAAATTGTAAACACGAACGTGATTTACGAGGCGGCTGTCCGTACGCGACGTGAGGACGACATGAGCACTGCGGCCCGCGGCGCGGCGGCGGAGCGGTCACGCTCGGCCGCCGCGCTACGAGATCGCTATCGACGGCGGCGCCCTGCCGCCCTGCCGCGGCACGGCGACCCGAGCGCTCGCAATGGCGCAACGTCGCGGAGGCCGTGACGCTGCAACACCGAGAGAATGTCGACTCTGCGTTAAAGCGAGAAACTATCGCGCACGGTTTCGCAACGTCGGACGAGCTCGCGGGGACCGAAATAATCCACGGGACGGGCTCGTGGTGCCTGGAGGACGGGGCGGCGGAGACTCGATACTCACGGCCTGGCCGCTCGCAGCGGGTCGGCGGCGGCGTCCATGGCGCGCCCAGGCCCCGGCCGCGGCCGGGCTCCGGGCCGTCGGCCGAGCGACGCGACACTCTCTCCGATCTCACTCGGAGCACGCCGAGATACACCGTCGCACCATCTCGACGACACTGCACATCGAACGCGACGCTTCAATTCGCGTATAAACACTCCGCGAACGGTGTTTTGTTACATCGGTTGACTTTTCTTTGAAAAATCAATATACATTTTCCCAGAGTTAGATAGGGACGAGTCGATGTCCAGCGCAGGTTATGTGCGTGAAGTTTGCAAGCTTTTTTAGCGCACCGGTGTTACCAACATTTTTTTGGCCATTTTTTTGTCGAGTGTTGTGATTTTTTTCTAGTGATTTGTGATGCACTTCGGGTCGGTCGCGTAGCGTTGGGTCTCGCGTAATACTCGCATGCGCGCACCCCAGCGCCGCCACGTTTCATGGCGCCATCATTTAACTTAGTGTATTGTGTTTTGTAATTACAGAGATAGTACCTATTTATTTTAAATGAAAAGATGCTTATTGAAATTATATTTGTCTTTCTTAACCTATAAGGAAAATAAAAACATAATTTTTAATATAATATTTATTGCGTATAAGTATAGTTCATTTTTTAAAGTACAAATATTCATAGTTAACACGACAAATAAAAATATATACAATAACACATTTCAAGAGAAGTATAATAATCAACGTCGTTCATGTTCTACGTCGGCAGTAGGTATTTGCGATTCAGGGTTAAGTTGGAGGAGTTGAATCTCACTTTAAATTTAAAAAGTGAAGAGATCACACCTCCACTTAATCCTTAACGCTAAAAAGTTTCACTCGCAGGTGGTCGTAGCCCCGGCGGCGCGGCGGCGGCTTGTTGGTCAGCGGACGTGGTGGAGGAGGTTCCACGCGTGAGCTGGAAAGATAGATCTGGCAGCATTGAGTTTTAAACTGTCAAGATCCCCTGTCCAACTCAGACGTGAAGCCTATAGAAGTCTTCTATGCAGATTCTGAAATTAAAATTAAAATGATTAAACCATATTAAAGATAGTTGTGTATGCTCGGCGTGACGAGCGGAATGCGCGTGCCCGTTACAGAGCCGCTCGGCGCGCTATCACACGAAAAGGTGCGGCTGACGTTCTCTGATAAGAGCACTGCTTTTCCCCCTCGCGTCAGCAAATCTACGTCGTTCTGTTTCAAATGTGTACAGCTTTTATTGAAAATAATTAAATGAGGATAATAAGTTAATAACCGTCGGCGTGATGGGATCGGCTCGCACATGTGCCATCGGACCACCATATGGCATTACGTAATCATCGCTTATTATTACAGTGACACTTTTTGGTACGTTTCTATTAAACACTGCGACGCACGCGCCTTGTGCGAACAGTTCAGCACTGAACCTCAGAGACAATGCGTCCTCGGCTTACGTGAGCCGTTCAAATTAAAAATATTATAAATTGAAAAATATTTGAAGTCACAAAAATTCAAAGAAACTCAGATCAATCACCCTTTAGTTACCATAACTCCTGGGGCTCCACACACGAGGACACCGAACTCGTCGGTTGTCAATCTTAATCACAGCGCAAACTTCGATAGAGACTCGATCGATCGATGGTCCCATATTTATACACTCGATGATATCTTTTGATACGATATCAGGTAACTGACAAGAGGTATGAATGTCCACCATGATTGTGATAAGATTCGATGAAACAGGGTATCGATTGGTCCCCGCGGCTCGTATCGGCATCGCAAACACTTCACTCCGCCAATCGGCAAGGCATCGACGATAAGCGTCGCGAGGACGCGCGGCGTAGGGCTCCGCTGGCGGCCGGCGCTCCGACCCGCGCAGCGCGCTATCGGCTAGCGACTGCTCCATCACAATGTCTGCTTGTTTACAATGGAGATATACGTTTATTACGTTATATCTCGTCGGCAGTAGATAATTTCACTATATTCATCTACAAGTATATTACGAGTTCGAGATGTAATTGTATTTGCTCACAAACAACAGTGCTGTTAAGATAGCAAAAATCACTCAGTAAGCATAGTTGCAAATATCCTTCTCGTGGTTCTACTTAATTACAACTAAATCCTACAAAATCATAGTATTTTGCCATCTGTGTCTAAATTATAATAGCAGTGTATAATATAACAGTTCTTTATTAACTCATATAGAGTAAGTACGTATCTACATTTATTTGCACTACATATCTGGACTGAACAGTGGATTCGCAGCCTCGCGGGAATAATCTGCTCTAGCCGATAAACTAATAGCATAATTAAACTTATGTTGACATCAAATTGATTTATTTTAGAAAATAAACAAATTATTATTATTTTAGGTTATGGTATTGAAATATTATAAAATTGATTATAAATAAAAATAGATATCAATAGAGTCACAATATGACGCAGTACAAAATTATAGTTAGGTACTAGAATAGATACGTGATAATACGTGGAAGAATTTCGACATGGCAGATAAGGTGCAAAGGCGCATATCAAACGGTGTCATTTGATAAGACATGTGGTGTGTGCTTTCTGGAACACTTATAGACAGGTGTATTGTAATCATACAGCTTAAGGTCGAGTGAAAATTCAACAATTTGTATAAATGTCATAAATATATTAAAGGTGTGACAGGAGAGAGGGAAGAGGAACTGTTATCTTATCGACTACTTTTTTTTCAATAAATCATATAATTTACATAAAACAATTTTCTTAATTTCAGCTCATACTTCTGATTTAGAGAAGTATTAAGGATTTGGCCAAAAGTATAAAGCTTAAAGTGAAATTAGTGTATAAAAATGTAAAACCTCTGTAATGTGAACATTTTTGTACCAGTAAAGTACAAAAACATTAATATATACATTACTAGCATTGCCCGCGGCTCCGCCCGCGTTCAGATGACCAAAAACCAAATTCTTAGGTTTTACATATAAGTATACTTTTACTTGCATAAAGCATACTTTTTTTCTCAGAAATGAGATATTTTCCCGCGGTAAAAAGTATCCTATATGTTGACCCGGATAATCAGCTGTATATATACCGTACCAAATTTCATCAAAATCCCTCCAGTGGTTTATCCGTGATGCGGTATCAGACAGACAGACAAAAATTCTAAAAACGATTGATTCGGCCTCTGTATCGATAATAATGTCTATTGCAATGAGATTTTCCAAAAAATATTTAATGTACAGATTCGACTTAGTTAGAATTTTATTATATGTATAGATGTATACGAAATTCACGAGAGCTTTTCATTGTCGCAATCTTTCGAAGGACTTGCAAATATCAATATGTATATAATTATATAATAAAAAAATACAGTGTGAAAACCACAAAATAACAGGTAACTTGTGAGACTAAATAATCTTTTCATTGTGTAGAGTAGACGGTAGAGGTAACTTGGAATATCCTTCATTACTATCACGTAACGACAGCGGCAAGTGAAAGCAATATTTGCCTTGAAGAAAAAGCACTTGGAGTAACAATCGGAGACGGTGGGTGGTAATGCGGCGAGGGTGACGCAGGGCGGGCAGGGGTGCGGCGGGGCGGGCGGGGGCAGGGTAGGCCGCGTGGGGCGAGGGCGGCGGGCGGCGCCGGTCGCGGCCGTGAACTGGAACTTCGAAAACTTCCACCGTATTGTGTTTACATTGAACTTTGTTATGTGGGTTAAAGTTAAGCCAGAGTTCAGAGCCGTGTGTGGCGCTCGTTTCACTAGATTGCAAAGTTGACTCGCAAGTTTGTCGTATCGATTTTCATCTTATGTTTATCAAATGTTTCAAGGTTCCGGCTTTGAGAGGTCATGTTTGGGTTCAAATATTGGAAGACATTAAAAATCACGTGAAATTTTGACGTCCAGAAAACGTGCGATTTGAGCGACGCGCCCTAAACACACATCACATTTGTAGAGGCATATTTTGTAAAGGTAAATAAATATAGTGTGAAGTAAGTTATAAAGTTCCCGCAAACGATTTCAAGATGTCCTAACTTCAGGTAATGGTGGATTTACTCAATCCCATTTTGGCACATTCTCTTTCGATTTAAAAAATATATATTTGAAACTAAAACCAAATTCATTTTATTAAATTAATAAATATCTCCTCATCTAATTATAGTGTACCTAATACCTGTGTATATTGAATAGAAAAATAGCCACGACTTTCTTAAGCTATTTGTTTCGAAACGGACGAAACTTTATTCTCATTTCGAACGTTGCACATAGAAATATTTAGACAAATGGGTAATTTGTAAAACCTTGTATCTGTCCAATTTTCATCAGGTAAAGAACTGACGGGCTCCTATAACCTATAGGTATAATTTCCATTGGAGCATCTTTAGGTTTGTGAAACGATATTTATGAACCAATATCTCGACTTGCGATCATTATTAGATTCTAGTCAAAGTAAAGTCTGCAAGCGACGGGCCGCAGGTGGTTTCATAACATCTGACGCAATGCACGGATGCCCTCTTGCCCTCCTCCTGCGCAATCATTCTTGTTGAATTTGCGAACTAGTCATGTGTATATTGTCTTCGTATGAAAATGAGGCTTAGTTTGTGAAAAGGAACAATATTTCCGTTTATGAAATAGTTGTGTAGGTTGCGTTGTTATTGTTAAAGTAAATATTTCAATCGCCACCGACTAAAATAATATGAAATATTAATATATATCGTTCCTTCCTATGATTTCATTGGAAGGTATGTATGATGTAATCGTATATTACAGTAGGTATTCGTATTATAAAAAAATCTGGCTCATATGTTCTACTAGCTGGCTGGGCAGATGTTATTAGATATGTAAGTATATATAAATGTATATCGTTGGCGAAATTTAAAATTTATCAATAACCTAACCACAGTACCATCTAAAGAGCCATATGATACACTAGCGACTCACCCTCGCTTCGCTCGAGTTCGTCCCTACTTACGTTTTAACGTTTAGTATCGATTTCTCAGAGATGAGATATTTTCCCGCTGTAAAAAGTATCCTATATGTTGACCCGGATAACCAGCTATCATCATACCAAATTTCATCAAAATCCTTCCAGTGGTTTTTCCATGACGGGGTAACAAACAGACAAAAATTCTAAAAACTATAGATTCGACCTTGGTTCGATAATACGAGTAATGTTTATTTCAATAAGATTTTCCAAAAAATATTTAATGTACAGATTCAGCTTAGTTACAATTTTATTATATGTTTAGATTGTGTGATCAACTTTAAATGCACTAATTGTGAATATTCCATCTGCGACCGCGGACACGCCGGCGTTAGTAGAAAACCGCCGTTTAGTATATTTTTTCCTTATTAGTGCCTGGATGACGGCTTTTTTTTAAGTTTTTATTTTTCCATTTTTAGTGTAGACTGTAGTAAGCCGGTAATTTGTAAGAAGAAAGTTTTTTAATAACTTATTCGATTAAGCCATTTATTTAAAAATAATTTATTGTCTATTTTTCAAAAACCGCTCGACCTATTTCGATAAAGAATATAATTGTTACAATATATCATATTTATTTATAATTAAATCTTTAGGATGTGAAAATTGCACCGTTGCACCGAGTACAGCGTGCTTATGGCAAGTGGTTTTTCATCTAGACTCTAATAAGGTGTTTATAAATTGAGATAAAAGAAATATCAGATAAAAGTCAAGTAAATAAAATGCAAACAATATATATTCTCACTGCTCCTTTTGCAAAGTTCCTTATACTCGTAAACTGACAAAACCTTAGTTCGTCAGTACCTTGTTACTCAGTAACTACTCGAAAATTTGCGCAACAAAATCGAACCCACAAAAAACTCTGGTGTAATTGGTAGAGCAGAAGTGCATTTACCCCACGAGTTGTCTATTTACGTTACGAATGTTGATTTATTATATTTCTTTATAAATGTTAGAAAGCCGAGTTATGTGTATACATTACATACCTTGTTTTTGTTTGTTTGTAATTAAATCATTGCTGTATTTATTATATACTTTATTTATGAAAAAGATACTCTTTACATTATATATTATTCATATTATTCTAAAATATTATATTTATTCTCATTGTTTAAATGAAGTTATACTTTTGCGTGTGACTGTGAGTGCGTCCCGTCCGCGTCGCTATAGTGTATGTCCTATGTACAAGTACTATGTAGGTACATCTTTTGTAGCACCTGCAGCAATTAAATATTAAAGTCTTGGTCAATGGTGTGAAGTAGAAAGGCTGGGAATAAATAACCGATTTAAATTATTAAGAAAATCCTGTTTGTTGCTTTTATGTGCCGATTGAGACTAACTGATTACATAATTGTTATGAAATAATGCATTAAAATAGAAATACTCATGCATTGTAGTATATTATATTATTTCTATGTTAAGATGTCTGAGAGTTATGTTTGATACATATGTATTAGCGACTTTCACTCGGTCGCGTCTAGGTACGTTTTAATTAGATAAAATAGTTATTGTGAGTGTGGGCGACAGACATAATATGCCATTGCAGATATTTCTTTAGGCCTTTTATTTGGCCTACCGTTTTCTAGTATATTGTTTTAATATATCTGTTATGAATGAACCAGTTATTGTGTTTTTCCGTAGAAATTATTGATTTTCCTGTAGTAAAAGGTATCTTAAATATTGACCCGAGTAGGTAATACGTTATCACTACAAAAAATTTAGTTTTAGCACTTTTATTCCTCAAATACACACAGATATGCAGACAAACAGACAACATTTTTTATAACTATTTTTTCAGGGTCTATATTCTGTATACAATACGTAACAGTTATCGTTTTAAAAAATATTTCATGTAGGTATAGATTTCTCTTTGTTACTATTTTATTATATGTAATATGTATAGATAAGGAGTACATAGAATATGAGGTAGTCCATAAAATTCGATAAACGAAATTATGTATACCTACTTAGTACTTATTATCTGTGTATGTCGACGTACAGACGCGACGAGAGCATATACACATGATTTCTCTAAACATTACTTAAAACACGGGAAAAAGCATGGGTATTGACCACATTAACACGTTCAACAGCCCAGATTGTGGAATATGCACCATAAAGTTATAGTAGGTATCTGCTATAGCGATAACTGATACGCTATGAGGAACTGTGTTAACCAATAGAAGGAGTGGTCGAATGTTTCGGCCGGTCGCAGATATCAGATGCGAGCCACACCTGAACCTATTTTTTTGCTTTCTTATCAAATGGGTCCTGATAAATCGTAACAATTCACACACATGCAGGTTACAGTGTGATAGCTGTAAAGGTTAAGAAACGGAATAGATTAATATGCGGAAAACACGAAAGTCGATGACCATTGACGCACAAATGTATATAAATTAATATATGTAGTATGTTATATTATTATCAAGACTGCAATTTTATGATTTGTATAATCAACGAGTGACCCAGCGTTGCCTGGGGCAGGTCGGACCTAGCTCCGCTGCACGTCTTCAGCTTTTTGCAATATTTAATTTTCCCACGGGAAACCTTTAATCTTGGGTAATGATTATCTGAAAAAATAACCTTTGTCACTCACTCTATCGTTCCTACTCACAGCTCATACTAGCTAGCTCTGTACAGAAAATCACAATAAGAAGTACTAGGAGATAGTTTAAAGCACAACTTTGCGAGGGCATCATAAGGAATTTAAAATATTTATTATTAATACTTACTCATGTATCTCTAACGTCATCTTTACCAATTTATATACGTACTAGCGGACCCGACAGACGTTGTCCTGTCTACACGTCTTTAATTTGAAAATTTCAAACTTTTTTTAATAATTTTTTTGATGAAAATTATTATTCAAATTGTGAATCTAAACCATTCCCAGATCCCCTTAAACACACACAAAAAATTTCATCAAAATCGGTCCAGTCGTTTGAGAGAATTCAGTGACATACACACTCAGAGAAGAATTATATATATAAAGATAATAAAATTGTAACTGATCGATGTCTCTACGAGGAAGATATTTTATATACGTATTATATTTTTATATTTGATTTTTATAGATCTAACACAGTAAATGAATTTTGATAGTTAAGTTTAGAGGCTAAGTTTTTGCTTAAAGGGTAAATTTTATAAAGCCCAAAATAAGTAACATTTTGTATGGAAATTTGATATCGTCTGCAAGTTTTGGTACACAAATTCTAACAAAATCAATGCAAAGTTCACTCACCGCTTTATGTTATTTTTTTAAAGAATTTTTACTACCACAGTACCAAATTAAACTACCAAATTGCTAGTATGAATTTTTGTAACTTTTATATACTTAGTACAATATAAGCTGTATACTGTATTATGTATAGTCTGTTGCTGTTTCTGTCGTTTGTATATTGAGATATTTTTATTTTTTAAGTTACTTACATTTCTTTTGGCACGTTTTGAAAAAAATAATTACAAACTACTAAAAATTAATCTGAGAATCAATTGCTTCAGTAGTAAGGGTAGAAATTTGAGAATGGGGAAGGTAATAAAGTTTTCAAATAACCGTAAATTTGAACTCAAAGCTATAACAAATCAAATATTGAAGATATAAATTCGATTCAATGGAACTTTTTGTAGTACATTTAATACTAAAAAAGATCTATTCATTCATTTTTTGAATAATATTTTCATCACAGTTTGCAGGGCAAAAAAGTATTAAAATTTAAAAACCATGTTTTTCATGTTATTTGTATGGGAAAACTTAAAATTCGATGGAGAACCTATTAGAATTGGAATTTTGAGCTTCACTTTTGACAGGAGCTTTGTTGGGATATTTTCTGAGCAAGTCTTGTGTATATATATATATATATATATATATATATATATATATATATATATATATAATCTGAATCTCGGAAACGGCTCCAACGATTTTCACGAAATTTAGTATACAAGGGGTTTCGGACTTCCAAAAAGGAGGTGCTCAATTCGGCGAAATATTTTTTTTATGTAGGTATGTTCACCGATTACTCGAAGACGCCTGAACCGATTTGGATTTTTTTTCTTTCGAAGGGTATACTTCGCAGGTTTTTTTTTAAATATTTTTTTTTTTAAATAAATTGCTTAATCGAATATGTTATAAAAAAAACTTTCTTCTTACAAATTACCTGCTTATTACGTCTACACTAAAAATGGTAAAATAAGAACTAAAAAAAAACGACTTTCAGGCACTAAAATGTAAAAAATAACTAAACGGGGGTTTTTATTTAGAACAGATACCTAATGAGATATTTTCGAAGTCGGTGCCAGCCGACAATACTTTAAAATATAATTATCTAATAGGTAAATATGATTAGGTATGAACTCTTGTTAGTTGTTATAGTTAAAATATTATACATCAATTTGTGGTGTATTTTACTTATCGAAATATATTAGATTTGCTTTACATCGGCTATCTATTCTAATTGAAAACCCCTGTTTAGTTATTTTTTACATTTTAGTGCCTTGAAGTCGGTTTTTTAAGGTTTCATTAATTGCCCTACATGACTATGACAGTGCAACTTGAATTCATTCTAAAAAACAATTTGTAACTACTTTCACTTTTTCCGCTCAAGTGTCAACAAATACTTATAGCTAACTGACAAGCGTCTACCACTGCGGCGAGTGGGCGACGTACCTGTCTAATGATGCAGCAGGTAGGTATTACGGTTTGTGTATTTTCTGTAAAAATCTTACTGTGTAGATCAAAATGATAGCATTTCTGATGAATAATATTTTTTCACTTTTTCATTTGTAAATGTATTTTTTATGACTTATGAGACAGTCAGTACTTAATAGTAACCTGATCGTCACCGTGGGATTGAGTCCAGGCGCTAGCTATAATTGAACTATCAGTAAACGTAACTTTGATCGAGATTTAGTTTTCCTAAAATGTTGCATAACTGATACATGCTGATGCTCGCCTCTCAACCTGTTCTTTACAAAAATCAACAGATACTGTTGTGATGTATGAGGGTAGATTTATTTATGTTTATTATATTGTAGGTGTGATTAACTTGTACAGTCAGTTGTGAAATAAACGGTCAACAAAACACGTGCGTTTCCTTTGTCCCCGGCTTCATTATCGTGTATAGTTCCTATAGGAAGCCACATATATTTCAACTGTGATCCAATTCGCATATTCCTAGATTAGGTAGAGTACAGAAAAGCAAGTAGACATGAAAATAGTTACATTGTGTCTCATCTATTTAGGTTCATTAAATTTTAAAGCGATCAACATCGGCAAAACGTAACTCGCGTGATGATCGGGCGTAGGTAAGAGCAGTGAAATGCTCGCAAACGTTACGATACCTACAATAGTACTTCACTTTATCTCGTTTTTTTACACTTTATTTGTTGAAGGCGCACGATAAAGATAAAGATAAGTGGCAGTCGACGCCTTTATCGCTGGCTATCGCGAAAGAGCTCGCTTCAGGAAGTTACGGTATGCCAATCTGAAATAAAATCATTACAAAATTTAAGTACTTTCATTTGTTCTTCTTGGAACACAAATAAAAGTCATTTGACGTGCGCAAAATAGTGAAGAGCCTAATTAGTTTTGTTTAGGTTAAGTGTCCTTATTTTAAAAATTTTAACCAAGTACATTATTGTTATTCTTGAAGATCAAATACGCAAATTAAACGATAAACCTGATTATCAAAAAAATTCATTAACTCAATCATTGATTTTGAATTAAGAAAAAACGAAGATTAATATATCATTATACTCGTATATATCTATAATACATCTCTACCTTTTTTCATGTCGAATTAAAATATGTAGCTATCGTGCGAATCAATTACAATACAAGCAGATAAGATAAACTATTACACTACTAGGTGTACACTACTTTGTGCTGAAGACTGAATGCCACAATGTGTCTTAATAGGTAGTTAATACTTACTACTAACACTCTGTCCTTCGACTACGCCTACGCTGCGTGTATGACAATCACATCGACAACTTGGAAAGATAATCATATATCACAAATATTTAGAAGGATTTAACTTATATTTCATTTTTTTATCCATAATATTTCGATTGTTTCTTAGCAGCAAACATTTCGCTTTGAAATCCTTATTTAGTAAAATGTAACATACATTTGTAACCTACGACTGCAAGGGATGATAATGTGTTCCTCGTATTTATGAATATGTATTAGGCACAACATCCATTCGTTTGTGTTTATATTCAGATACGAGAAATGATGTCAGTCACTTGTAGATGAATAAATAATCATAGTTACAAGTAATAGCAGTTTGAGCATCGACGATCAATGTACATTTGGAAAAGAATGTCTATAAACAGAACAAAAGCGGCGAAGTCGAAAGTCAAGTTTACAATGTTTTGAATATTTGCAATTTAACTGGAGTAAGTTAACTTTACAAACGTTGTGTTCATTAATCAAAAGTTTGGCGCAGCCCCTGTCGCGCCTGCCTTCCCCGCCCACCCTCTCGTCTGCTCGATTTCTCACGCATATATACATTTAACTCAAGTATAGCACCTTCTACATTTCGGTCTCTCGTAATGCACAAAAAGTATTGCTACAGCTTGGCAACACTGGCTTCCCCAGGTCAATATTGACAAATGGCTGATTCTGAATTATCTGTCACTTTCCTGGCAAAAGAGCATAAACATCGAGCATTGAGTGCTAATTTATACATATAAATATTGTTTTCTTTTGAAAGATGGATAATATTTGCCGCCTGTGCTGCTCTACAAAATTCGTAAATAATTATATTTTCGATGAGGAAAACGCTCTATTTTTAAAAATGTCATTATATTTGCCGATTAAGGTAAATTGGTGTGTTTGTAGTAGTATTTTCGCATGGTATTATTTAGTTATTGAAGATTTACGCTATCATATCGGCAGGTGCTGAAAGAGGACCGGCTACCTCAGAAAGTTTGTGACAAATGCAGCTGCAAAGTGAACGATCTCTACCAATTCTGCAATGAAGCTATTGAAGTTCAAAACAGGTGAGCTTCGCGCCCGACGAGTCAGCTGTAATTATATTTATGGGCATATTTTACGACTTTTCATTCATAAAAAATCACGTAAACCTCGATGCTTTTCACTCAGTTTACGATCTTATCTTTTCATAAATTACTATATCTGTTAACTTGTTTATTTTATAGTGAGGCAAGATGATGGTGAATTAAGTTGTCAAAATTTATTACTGCTGATATATTAAATACATTTTAGCTATTATTGATTATTACACTTTAGCTATTATTGATTATTACACTTTAGCTATTATTGACTTTATAACAAAATTATTACAGGTTAAAAAGTTTTCTGTCAACGGCTCAATTTTTTGTCAACAATACAGTGGACTTAACAGTAATCAAACAAAATTGCAAATCACCCCCTCCACTACGCACCTGTAATCAAAGTACACAGACAGAGGATGACTTTTCCAATGTGCTAAAAGTTAAAGATGAACCAAATGTACCACTGCCAATTATTAAAAAAGAGAGTAATTACTTTGAAGACAATGATGATTTCACACAAGGTGACCTGCCTTCTGACAATAGTGAAGAAGAGTTTCTTATTGAAATCAAAAAGAAAAAGAAAAATGAGAATCATTCCACAACAGAAGTTGTTAAAGCAACTCGTGGAAGGAAACCAAAGACTAAAATTCATAACACAATGTTCAATATATTTGAAAACAATGGTCTCAGTGTTATACATGAAGAAAATATGGATCTGGATTTGGTGAAGGAAGAAATGGAGCTAAAGCCTCCAGAACTAGATGTGGACTCGTTGGAGAATGCCAATGGAGACTTGTTCATTTGCTGCATGTGCTTCACTCAGTGTGAATCAAGATCAGCGTTGTTAACACATTACAGGTATAAAATTTCAATTCTATTAATGTAAAATCAGTCTTTTTAACAAGTGGGTTATATATTTTGATGCAATATGAAATTAATGGCTTGATGGATTGTAACATACAAGGAGGAGTACTGACTGCATAACTTAATTTAATGACACATTACATTTATCATAGTTGTGACTGAAACTAGATAGATATTTAAAAATGAAATACATATATTTTTACCTCTTTCTTTGATGTATTACAAACACCATATTTGAATACAACATGGTGTGAGCAGAGGAAGAAGTGGAATATATATATATATATTTGTTTTATATCAATATGGGTATCAAAAGTAATTTTTATGCTGCCATTTTGTATTACATACTGAACCATGTTTGTGTTACACAAAGTTCAAAATAGTATATTAATAATATTTTAAATGATGATGCAAATGATGCTTTTGTATTTTAAATAAGGTTATATTAATAGATAAACACAATAGTCCATTAAAACCAAAGACAAGAATTCAATGCAATATGCATTCAGCACACTTTTTTATAATTTATGCAATAATTATAATTGCAATACTAAGATTTTTAAGCCTGCCTTCTTAAATGATGACATACATATATATTCTTATTACTACCATATTACCATCATTGTTTGTACTATTCAGTGTCAGATCTTCATGGCATAGGTTATGTGAGGATGCTTGACATTTGATTTAACACTTATTATGCTGATGATATTATAAGTGTTACTTTTAAGTATTACTTAAATATGAGTTGCCATTATGTATAGAAAAAAAAGTCTGTTGAAGTGAAGCAACATGTACAAGTAGTGTATAGTGTGTGTGGTATGTCGCAGGGCGCACGGGCGCAAGGGCAAGGCGGCGGCCAAGGACAAGCCGGCGCCGCCTCCGCCGCCGCCCGGCGACGCGCCGCGCTGCCCGCGCTGCCAGAAGGTACGCACGCACGTATTATTTAATCATATTTATTTATTTTTACTTACATTTGATAGTCTATTCTTGTTAATTGTCTTAGTAGTGGAGTGACTGTCCTAGGTCCTGGGTTCGAGTCTGGGACTCGGGAGTCGGGTCAAGTTTAGTTACTGAGTTTTTCTGTTAAGATATTCTTAGTAACCTCGGTGTTATAGTCTATTCTTGAGGAATGTTATATGCTATCTAACATCACGCTACGCTTTTAGGATCGAAATAGGTAATATATAAATGGACTACGCGAGCGGGATTAGCTAGTTTTATTAACTATTGGATTTGAAACATAAGTCTTATAAATTCTGCTCCTAAGTTGCATGATGTTGTGGAACAACAACATGACAAACGGTTGTCCTGTCATGTGTCATCTTTCTGGGAAATTTATGTGTAATATTCTTTACAATTTTTAAGAATATATTAAAAATATCCTAGCTTTGGTACGTTTCTAAATAAATAAATAAGAGATGGCGCTGCCTGTATATAATATTATATGCAAGTAGCGCCATCTTCTGGCTAATTTTATTATTAACAGTAGAATATGCGTTTTACAGTATTTATCCGATCAAATCCGTCGAGCTCTTTAAGCGAGAAGTGGTGACGAACACACACATACATTATAATATTTAATGGTCTAATTTATTTATTATTTTCGTGTTGTACGCGAAGCAGTTTGTTAATATGGCATAATATAGCATATTTAAATTTCTAGAATATGAAGGATTTATCTAGCTTATTTAACAAGTAATATTAGAATGAGAAGACCTAAATTTTATAAAAAATATTTGTTAAAACCTAAAAAATACTCTTATTTAACAGGAAAATAAATTCAATTAGTGTTTATTATTTTACTATAGGGTAAAGAGTTTTAGTATTCTTTTATTTGGACGAATTAAGAACTCTAAATAAAACTTAAAAATGCTCAAAAAGTAATTCTGCAAAGCGATGGCTCCTTAATTTTATAAAATGTATGTATCTGTACACAAAAAGAAAATGTTTAAGTTTCTTAATTCACTAGCAGTAGCAGCTGTGTATGTACATGTAACTAGAGTCGAAGGGTGTACGGTGTATGGTGTGCGCAGAGCCTGGCGCCGGCGGAGTGGGGCAAGCACTGGCGGCGGCACTACGCGCGCGACACGCGCCCCTTCCGCTGCGCGCTCTGCCAGGCCACCTACCGCGACCACTACAAGATGCTCAAGCACGGTCGGTCCGCACGCACACGCACGCACGCACACGTCGCGATACATTTATTGACCCATTTATACAAAGTCGTTTAGTAATTTGACGGCATATTTGGCTCAGTTTGTAGTTTATATTTATAATATGTATATTATACGTATTTAAAGTTATATATATGTAGTATATCTCCTATGTGGTATTCATAACACAATCACAATGGAACTAGATGGTGCTGTGTGTTGTTCCATATGTTCCAACATATTTAATTTAAAGATGTCGAAGACAAAGCAACCGTTAACAGTGTTTCAGTATAAATTAATTAACCTAAAATAAATCGCCTACTGTTTGGATTTTTATAGGTACTTTGACAAAAGTAAACAAAATAGAAGTATTTGTGTTTTGGTTAAATAGAAATTTACCTTAAAATTTAAAACTCATAAATATTCCTTCGGTTGTCATCCATTCGGTTATTGTTTCAAATTTTTCATCAGATTCTCCACAGTTGCACAATATTTTAAATGTTCTTTTTGAGAGTGATCAAATACGGTGGTTGAGAATTCACTACGATTTTAACACCAGGTTGACTTATAATTATCTAACTTCTCGAAGATAGCTCTAACGTTGCATGAATATACATGCATACATTATAATTTGTAATATGCACGAACTAGCCCTACTACTTCATGCCTACAGCCTATAAACACAGATCACATAACACTATAGTACAGATGCCTCAACCCAACAAATACATTGGACAGCGCTAATTCGGGCTATTTTTTGTTTGCTTGAATAGATAATCGTTGCTTCGCAAATAATTAAACTGTTTTATTTTATAATATATATGTGCGAACTAACGTTTGGTAAATATTGTAAAATTCATCCTGTATTCGAATAATTTTTCTTTTACTGACTTTAACAATTTTTAACCTTGATAAACAATTCATAAAAAACAAGAGCGCCATCTGTGAAACAATCACTGCAAACCCGCCATCTGATTACTGATATTTCAATAATCAGTAAAATTACGCAAATTTGATTTACGGGCGCTTATCTATTTCTCTTCACTTATATTTTTTAAAATAATAATTTTTGGAATCTATTTTTTTTCTTTTGTTAATTTAACACAACTTTAATAACAAATTGATACATGTAACGTCATCTATTGATATTTATTTGAACTATTTTTGAAGTGAAACTTCTTTGAATCGTTGTGATTTGAAACTCGATGAAACGTAAATGCGACACGAGAAAGAGACAAACACATAAATTATAAGATTAAGCCGGCGAGAGAATGACATAGAATACATTGCCATGCCATGCCATGGTAACCGTTGTTATTGTCTGACAAATATATAATATTACATTCTTTCCATATATGATATTTTACAAAAATATGGTTGTAATATGCCTAATATGCCTTATTTAATTATTGATTTGTTTTAATTTAATTGCAATATTTGCCAAAGAAGTTTTTTTTTTATTATTTGAGATTGGATACATTACACAGGAAGTGAAATAAATAAAATTAATTACTTACTGAATAATACGCAATGTATATTTATGTCAAATAAAATGTAAAAAGCTTTTCAACATGGTAAAAATAATATAAAAAAAACCTTATAATTATCCTACACCCGATACTCTCTATTCATCTCGTTCTTTCGTAGGCTCCTTTTCTGAAGATTCACTTCTACCATGTTTAAATTGCACATAGACGCACTTTTTTCTTTGTTCGTGATGAGGCTCTTGTACTATAAAGTAATTCAAGCGAGTACTTTACACTATATTTACAAATAAAAAAATGTATTTGCGAGCTCCGATGCTCCGATTTTTACTTTCTGGTTTTGAAAATGTACGATCAATCAATCGACCAAACATTACGGACCGAGGCTTCCCACCATATTCAAGTGTTGGTACTATTGAAAATTTAACTAGGATAATTAAATATGTCACTGAATGTATTTAGTGACATTATAATGTAACTAAGATTGGCCCGTGATATTGTAACAAATGGGGGACGATTGACGAAGTTCTCTGAAATTATAATATCCCGGCTTTCACAATACCCTGCGACATGTATCTGCATGACACAGGGCTGACGCACAAGCCGGACGAGCTCCGCAGCGAGACGCCGCGCACCTCCGCCAAGAAGTTCCTGTGCGACATCTGCCCGGAGACCTTCGTCTACATGAGGTGAGGGCTGTTACTTATATGTTTAAAAGTTTATACTTTCTTAGATTTACGCGAATATTTGACATTTTAAATAAAACTAGCTTTTCGGATTATTTCGCGGATTTATTTTGATTTTTGATCCCTAGTTGTATTAGATGATAGTTGGGAACCAAAAATCAAAATAAATCCACAAAAAAAAACCGAAAAGATAGTTTTATTTAAGATGTTTTAAAGTTATTTGTGATAACTATTTGTTAAATAAACTCTCAAAAGTTTAGTTGGTCAAAACTAAAATTAAAAAATTCTAATGCGTAAAAACCTAATTAAAAAGATGAGAACAATTTGATACAGGAATATAGTATTACGCAATCGGAGACATACATACAACTCGCAGCGAGAATAAAATATTTAATTAAATGGTTTTCGTTATTATTCTGCAATAGTTTAAAATTGGTTTAGTGTGACTATAATGAAATAGAGCACACGAAATTAACCATGATCGAACGATGTTGATGATTCAAAAAGATAGTTTAATTTCAAATGTCAATATTCATATAAATCTAAGAAAGTATTATAGAATGTTCAGAATCCAACCGGTCGGTCGGTCGGCAGGTGCATGCTGGCGCACCGGTCGCTGGCGCACCCCGAGGCGGCGGGCGCGCCGGCTCTGCGCTGCGGGCAGTGCGCGCGCGCCTTCGCGCACCCCAACTCGCTGCGGCGCCACGCGCGCACGCACTCGGGCGCGCGCGACCACCTCTGCAGCGTCTGCGGCAAGGCGCTCACCAGCCGCGAGCACCTCAAGTTCCACCTGCGCATCCACACCGGCTACAAGCCCAACGTCTGCAAGTCGGTACCCACCTCACCACACTGCGTACTCATCGATACACGGCATTCATTTATACACTTGAAAATTAATAATGAATTCTGCCGGTACCGAAATGTTATACAGTGTTCGATACTAATTTTCGACTATATTAAAATTCCTGAAATATTCAGTATACGGAAAGTAGGAATAATAAAATAGATCTAACTATTCATCAAAGTGAGTCTCTGATAAAAAACAATATATTTTTTTTATGATATAACATATATATAAATATAAAATTAAGTCGCTTTCGCTGTCTGTTCGCTTAAATCTCTTAAACTACTCAATGATTTTAAGGTAGTTTTCAGCAATAGATATAGAGATTCAAGAGGAAGCTTCATATGTATAGTACATGTATATATTATAGTACAGAAAAGCCGAGAAATTTAAAAAATTGTATTTCATACTAAGCGTTAAAACGTACATAGGGAGGAACCCGAGCAAAGCGAGAATGCGTCGCTAGTTTATATACTAAATAAAATTAAAATGTGTGTTTGTAATGTCGACATAACAGGTTTTTACTAAATGCATATGAAATTATATACGGTACATATAAGAAAAACACAATTTAATTTTTTTTTGTCTGTTAGTTTGTTCCGGCTAACCCCCGAAACGGTGGCACTGATTTTGGCAGAACTTTTACTGGCAGATAGCTGTTGTTATAAAGAGTAATTTAAGCTACTTTTATTTTAGAATTAGGGACTCACCCTCGCTTCGCTCGGGTTCATCCCCAGCTTGATTCCCCATGCAAACTTTCATCCCCATTTTTACCATATTTAAGGGATCATTTCCGGGATAAAAAGTATCCTATGTCCTTTCCAGGGGCTTAAACTATCTTCTTACCAAATTTCATCTAAATCGGTTCAGTAGATACAGAAATTACCCCCTACAACGTCACAAACACACAAACTTTACCTCTTTATAATATTAGTTTTAAATTAAGTATTAAAGTCTCGCTCAAAAAAATTAAAACGTACCTAGGGATGCACCCGAGCGAAGCGAGGGTAAATCGCTAGTATAAAAATATAATGTATACATTAGTATTTTTTACCATAAAGCACTGTATGTGTGTGTGTCTGTGCGCGTGCGCAGGACGTGCGGCAAGGGCTTCGTGAAGAAGTGCAACCTGAAGCTGCACGAGCGCGTGCACTCCGGGGAGAAGCCGCACGTGTGCTCGCACTGCGGCAAGGCCTTCTCGCAGCGCTCCACGCTCGTCATACACGAGAGGTGACCGCCACCAGTCCTCACTCCCCACACCACACTACACTGAACACCCTTCTACATACCACTGTTACGATAACGCATGCAATAATGTCCTCTTAACCGAATTCGAACTCGGCGGCCGATCTCATTGCGACCAGACATCTGCGCAGGAGATATTATAGTACATAAGCGTACTCTCTATTCCTTTCACTCTCAAAGTGCACTGGGACGATACTTTGACACGTGCAATGAGAGATCAGGTGCAGGTCCGACGGCTTTACATGCTCTGTCTCGGTACAGGGGTGAAACACCGCCTACGTCCCAATTCCGGGCCGTTTCTGTAAATTTTGTACCAAAAAAATCAAAAATGTTTGTATTTTTCAATACAAATAACACTATCTGTTGACATTTGATGGAATTAATTGAATTGTATTTTTCACGAGTCCCTCACGCGCAGGTACCACAACGGCGCGCGGCCGTACGTGTGCTCGCTGTGCGGGCGCGGCTTCGTGGCGCGCGGCCTGCTCACCATGCACCTCAAGACCGCCTGCGTGGACGCGCCGCCGCGCCACCGCCCCGCGCCCGCGCCCGCGCCCGCCCTGCACGCCGCGCCGCCCGCCCTCGCCGCCCTCAAGTGAGCGCCTCCGCCTGTTGCATGCCGCCCTGGTAGCTCGGCTCGTTTAATTTGGAAAAAAAATAATTGAACTTCGACCATTATTAAGAAAGTCATTAAAGTTATTAATCCAAATGACGAGTCGAGAGGAACGGATTAAATCATCGATCACCGTCGGAAGCCATATTAAAACAAAAAAAAAAATAGTAACGCTTAAAGTATAAATAGTAACGTAGTATCAACTAAAAGTAACCGATAATCCAAAAAATACGAGATAGTTAAGCGTCATATAGCTGTCCCTTTCTATCAAGTATCGACGATAGATATTGCATTTCTTAGTCATTCTTTTTGCTACCAGATGGCATTCACAATCTTATTGTTTCGGATATTAATCCTTTATATTAACTTGTTATTTTGAAACAAATATTTGTATTGTTAATCACTTTTATTTAAAAAAAGAAATTATTTCATATATTTTTATATTTATGCATGTTAAAATAAAAGAATGAAATGGTATCAGCATAGTACTCGTATTTTAGCATGTTATCTCATAAACATGACTACTACGAAAATTCTTCTAGCGATGTGTATGTACTCAATATGCTCTAAGTCCTAAACTATTGGCGATCACGTTATATATTTTGTGTGAAGAATTAAGATATTCAAAGTTTTAATTCAAAGTTAAAATATTGAAACAAAAATATGTGGAAGTTACTCAAACATCCATTTGAAATCTTCACTTCCGTTCCGTTATTCGATAAAAAAAAATTAAAAACTGCATCCTTTGAAATTTCAGAAACGATATTTTCTAAATATTTTTACAAATTGATTGATACAAATAATAAGCATTCAAAAAGTACGGATTTCATACTTCGTAAATTTTTAAAAGTTCATAACTCGGCAATAAAGCCTCATACGAAAAAAATAATGTATTTGGACTTCCATGTCCACTAGAACTATAACTGACTAGAGTATGAACAATTTTCACAACCTCACTTTATTTTCGTTGTCCGCTTCACGTGAAATACCCCATATATAAATATCGAAATTTTCATTGTGTATAGGAATCGAATCCGCTTTAGTATGGCCATCTCATATTTTTATATATTTTTTTAAAGAATTTAGCAAAAATGTATTGAACATGTACGTAAAACTCTTTTTTGTAAATAGTCGACATCTCGTTTGGCTCAGTTTGTAGTAACCCTGCTTGCTGTGTCAGCGGTCGCGGGTTCGAGACCCGCTGGGGGCATTCATTTGTGTGATGAGCACGAATGTTTGTACTTCAGTCATGAGTGTTTATATTTATAATATGTATGTATTTAAAATTATATATATGTAGTGTATCAACTATCTGGTATCCATAACAAAAGCCTCGTAGCTAACCATGGAACTAGATGGTGCTGTGTGTTAATGTCCTAACATATTTATTATTTATTTAGTTAATGAGAATTATTTGTTTTCCAGATTAAACACACGATGAGCCACCTTTCTGAAGCGAATGAAGAATTTGGGAAACTTATACACTTGAAGTAATTATATGTATTGTATGTAAATACGAGCACGTCGTGGTCCGCGCACTGCGCGAAGGTTTGTGCCAGTTTGCTATTTTAGATTTCGAAAAAATCACAATATCTTTTTTAATTTTTATGATTATTTCCCAAATATTATTGTGTGAAATAGCAGACATTTTAATTTATAGATCTACTAAAATAGTAGCATATTTGAGTTATTTATGGTATACAATTGTATAATTATGTCCCGCGCATAGCGATTTATAATCTAAGTTCATCATATTAATTCTGCACTTTTATTATTATGCGCACATCACATAATTATTTTGTAACTAAGAAGTCTATCATAACATGATAAAATTGTAACTAAGTCGAATCTGTACATTAAATATATTTTTTAAATCTTATTGAAATGAACATTATTATCGATACAGAGGCCGAATCTATAGTTTTTAGAATTTTTGTCTTTCTGTATGTTATTGCATCACAGAAAAATCACTGGAGGGATTTTGATGAATTTTGGTATGGTGATAGTTGATTATCCGGGTCAATATAGGATACTTTTTACCGCGGGAAAATGACTCATTTCTGAGAAAAAATACAAAAACTGCAATGTAAGAGTATACTTATATGTAAAACCTAAGAATTTGGTTTTTGGTCATCTGAACGCGGGCGGAGCCGCGTGCAATGCTAGTTACAATATAAAATTAATCTTGTCTTAAAAGGGGATGAAAGGCTTTACGTGATGTAAACTACTGCCATTTTATTTTTCTTTCGAATGTGAACAGATAGAGTATACTTTGACGAACACAATATCGAGTATATGGTGCCCTAAATTGTGACGTTTCCGAGATATTGTGAGGTAAAGATAACTTAGATGGGAACTATGAATACAGAATTTTTTGAAAGTGGTCACTCTGTTGGAACTCACAAATAATAAATATTCAAGAAGATTCAAGAAGGTTCTATTAAAAATATATTTATAATTAGTAAAATAATTAAGATTATTAGAGATATACGTAATATTTGTCATAATATTGTTCACAGTTTGGCTTTGGAGTCATATTCGTAGCTCTAGTAGTTTTGACTACATATTATAAAAATAAATGAGATAAGTGTATAATGTTTATTGCGTTAAAATAAAAATGGCAGTTAATAAAAACAAAATTATCAATACATACATACTACGATGGCCTTTACATTACTTTAGGTGTTTTAAGCAGTGAAATACAGTGTGCTATTAACATATCGCACACCTCGATAAAGAAACCTGCGTTAATAACTACATAAACTATAGATTTTGTCATGATTGCTAATTTAATACGAAAAAATAAAACTTTTTTTGGAATTTTTGATGTTTAATATATATTTGTGTTTCAAATAAATATCTTCAAGTGCTTGATATTGAGTTGGTTACAAGTGATACTGCTATTTTATGACAATCCATTGATCAAATAAATGTCATTGTAAAATTATATACAAGAACACAAGATTATTTTTAATATGCCAAAAAGGAAAAGAGTATAACGTTTTTTTCTAGTCCTGAAAAAAGAGACATCTTGAGTTTTGCTACTTTGTCTAGTGGCGATATAATAAGTTCATGTTCAATGGTTGTCATCGTTCTCATACTGCGATCTCCGCCTTGTATAACGCAGAGACGTGACACTTTAGGGCATTATTTTGCTGACATTATACTCGCTTCTTAACACACTGCAAGTTAAGAAAAATAATATGGCCTTATGTCACAAAGATTCCATCCCCATTATATTGTAAGAAATAACGATGAAAGCTTGCCGATGCCCGCCAATAGATGGCGTTATGCTCAGCTTACTTTTTTGTGATGTATCGTAATTGCTATAGATGGCGCGCGCGTGGGCGTTATTATATTTTTGTGTAAATACCTCGCACAAACTGTCTCGACACTACATACCAAAACGTGACAATATTTTGTCTATACTAAATAAATATTTCGTAAGATCCGTACTGAAAGTATTAGGGGAACTCGTGAGCGGACGCCGCGGACTCTCGGGACAGTGGGCACACTACCTCATAGCTCGATTAGTACCATATATTAACTTAGATAAACAACGTCCCGCTATAATATACTTGCAGCTAAAATGTGTTAACCGACTTTTCGACTGAACTCGATTGGTAACCGAACACTTTATTATAAAATCGATTATTTATTTTATTCTTAGTTGCATTTTTAATAGACGCAGTTTTATTATATAGGTATGTATAATTTTATTCCGTAAGATATGTCGCGGGAAGCGGTGTAAATCTAAGGGCCTCTGCACACGATGATTTTTAAACGCGTTCGTCATATGTGCGTTTTTTGCGCTGATAAATTTAAAGGTTATATAAGCACACTACGTTTCGTGCGTCGTTTCCGCATTTTCTGTGTAGATAAATTAAAAAAATGCTCATTAAATTAACGTCACGTTTGGCTCGGTTTGTAGTGACCGTACTTGCTGTGCCAGCGGTTGCGGGTTCGAGCCCCGCTGGCTGTGTTATCCATAACACAAGCTTACCATAGAACTAGATGGTGCAGTGTGTTAATGTCCCAACATATTTATTATAATTATAAAAAATCGTCGTGTGAATGGCTCCCAAAAATAGGCCAGCCTGAGGCCACAGTTTATCTTGTTATTGTAAAATATATTGCTACATACAAAAAATATATAAATGTATCTACAAATGCTGCGATTGTGTTTCTATTTTACTTTTCGACTTATAAATATAAAGTAACTAATATTAATGCGGACTACACACACACATACACACATACGTATGTGTATTGATATCAACGTAAGTGACACGCACTTTACTTTTATTTTAGATAATAAAAAACCTGATGTTCCTATAAGTTTGTAATATTTTAATTTGGCTCTTGATAAAATTTAGAAATTATAAGGGACAAGAATAATTGTATTGAGTGGGGAGGGAGGGAGGGGGAAGGGGGGGGGGCGACTATCGTTCTATTTAATTCAGCGAATTTTATTGTTTTACTTCGTATGTTTTAATAAATCTAATCAAATAAGTAATGACGAAATAACGAAATAAAAATATTTGTAAATTTTACTTTTATTATACAATTAATTGGAAATAAGTTCTACTTTGCTCTTTTTATACGTATGTAATAATTTTCCATTTCCTATAAGACGTATATATATATATTGGTAGGTTAGGTAAGGTAGGGTAGGGTTACTTACTGTAAGATGAAGTGCCTCAACTTGTGATACGCGTCACCCGAGTACGTACCACTTTTACACAAATATATTGTATTTAAATTTTTAATCTTTGTCAATTTGTTCATATATAGTCTATATACCCATTTTTTAGTTTTATTAAAACACTAACTTTCCCGCGACTCCGCTTGCGTTATCTAAATCTAAAAGTATTAGTGTGAATAGCCTATAACTATCCTCCAGAATGTTGGCTATCAAACGTAACAAAGATCCTTCGAATCTGATCGTAGTTCCAGATCTTTGAACGCGTTCAAATGAAAAACAAACTCTCCAGCTTTATTATATTAGTATAGATGGATTCGAATTTGAATATTTTAATTGCATCTTAAAACAACGATGGCGGAATGAGGCAAAATGCAGATAAAATAATTATTGAATGGCAGCTTTTTATAATTCTAAATGATCTAGATTTCTTATAAAATGAAATATATTTGCATCCAATTTGAATTTTAATAAGCTTTTGTATAGTTTTTACTAGATTTTTTTTATTTTAATGCAATTATTTGTTTGTTTTAATATTAATATAATTTATTGAGCATCTGTATGCTTATCGTACGGTGCGCGGCGACAGTGGTACGTAGTCTGGTGCTAGGCTAAGATTTATAAATGTAATGTCCAAGAAATGCTTTTCCACTCTTTTATCAGAACGTATACTGATTAAATTTCAATTGTGACCCTGCGCTCTCTGTATGTACTGATGGAACAATAGCAAATGTTTGGATAAATTACATATACGAGAAATATGCATCAGAAGCACCGATCAAAACGTACTATATACACAATCCCATGCAAAAGTTCTCTTAAGACTGTCCCCAATTGTGTTTAGGTAATTATTCTAATTGAAATAAATGTACAATAACGTAAATTGAACCTTAAATGCAATGCTTAAAGTTATTTTTACAAAAAAGCATATATTTTGTTGTATCATCGATTTTAACAGTTCCTGCCTCATGGGCCTTTTGGGCAAATGTGTTTGTGTGGACATACTTGTGCCAGATATAAATAATCTACCTCGAACGAATACAGTGACTTTTATTAAACGCTATTATTGAAATTCAAGAAACTTTGTTTTAGCACACAAAAAGTATTTTGTATTATTGTATTTGTCCTTTAGCACGTACTCGTAGCTACAGACAGCGCAGCCTTCTTTATGTTCAACGTAAATACTTTTATATTAATTATAGATTGTTCTTAAGAATGTGTTTTTAAATAAAAGTATTAAGTGGACGGTGGTGTTGTTTTTCTTTGTACCTAAAATATAATCGGTATCTAGAAGATGTCAAATATGACAGAGATCATCATCATCCTCATCCCATTATATTATTTTTTTTCCTCTGTAGATTGTGTGTGTATATACAAGTAAACGTGGATGGCGAAATCCGAAACTAAGCTATAACAATAAAATAAATTAAAAACTGTATCATAAGATTTTCGACAAAGGTGTACACAGCCTGCATTATTGCAGTAGCGAACAACGTTGTTCATAGGAACTAACATTTTACAAATAAGGTAAAATTACAAGCTAGGACTACGCACTTGAAAATTTTTTAACGTGCCGTCCGACGCGACGCGCTGTCGACATGCGTTTGTATCGACATGAACACAAGCAATCGTTAATGAAATCTAGCTTTCATATAACATATTCCCTTTTAAGTTTTTGGTTTTGTGCTATAACATTGTTGGAGAACACTGCACTAAAGCATCTCCTACTTACATATACGAGTATGTAATATGGCTTTAGAAATGTAAATCGTGTGAGCTTAATAGATTGATTAACTTATGGGAATACTATATTCGTAATTTTTTTTTAAATTCAAATATAAACTTTTTGTCCGTTTCTTATTACAAATATTAAAATTTAAAAACTTAAAGATTTTTTAGGACCCAAGTATTCATGTACGCTGCAGTATAAAGTCTCACATTGTGTCCACATTAAGGTGGGTGTAAACTTTACTAAATCTTTCATTAAAATAACAAAACTTGTTTAAATAAAATAAAAAATAAAAACATTTTTAACTGATCTCATTGTTTACTTTAAAAAACAATTTCATTTGATAAATGAATAAAATAATTATATTTTAAACAGTCAACATGGACTTGATAGCGTATGGAATGTTCACATGTTGTACTATCTCGTAGAATCCATTTAAGATTTGAACTTTATACCGAGAACATCGATCATGTCTTGCAACATACATATCTCGGTGCGCGAGCGAGGGCGTGTCGGGGCACAGCCTCTGTCCGCGCGGGGACTCGTCAGTCTCTCATTATGATAATATATTGCTATTGGTTTATCTTAACTGTGACAAGCGTCGGGTTTTACATATTACTCTCACTAACATAAATGTGAAGGTAAGTGTGTTTGTCTATATTTATGTCATGCATGCATAATGCATTGATATCACTAAAGGGATAGTTTACGAACCGGACGTACGTAAACTAGTTATTACCCGACTGCGGCGAAGCCCAAAGGAGGGTTATGTATTTGACCTGTACGTATGTATATCCGACCTTATATTCCCTCGTAATTAAAATAGTAATCATAAATAATAATAACGACTAAACCGATTTTGATGATTCATACATCGTTACATTCGTCTTGATAACGCGAGTGTCATATTTACATAAATTAGTTAGTAGAATTATTTTTGTATCACCAGCAGGCAGCTCGCAGCGAGCAATGGTGAAATATTTACGAAATAATTTGTATATTCTTAACCGCCATCTCAGTATCAGCGCTCGCTGCTACACTCAACATTATTAGTATTCAGCCCTTTTTAACGTCCCACTGCTGGGCGCGGGCCTCCCTTCAATACGAGGGACATCAGGCCGTAGTCCACCACGCTGGCCAACTGCGGGTTGGCGGACTTCACATGTCTTTTGAAAACTTGCTAGATTCTCTCAGACATGCAGGTTTCCTCACGATGTTTTCCTTCACCGTTAAGACAAGTGGTAATCATGTTGGAAATGATTCGCACATAAAAATATCAGAGGTGCGAGACCCTGGATTTGAACTCGGTTCACTCGGTTTCCCAAGCGAGCGCGTTACTACTGGGCTACCACTGCCTCAACATTATTGTTGCAATGTCCGAACTCCTACTTGCCTACTATCTGTCGGATAGCGTCATTAATTAATGCTATCAATGCAATACAATTATAAATAGCAAAATAATTGGTTGTGATGTAAACATTACGACAGATTAATATAATAAAGTTAAAAGATTAAGTATTGTTAAGGAGGTGATGGTTCTCATTTTTATTGTGAAAAACATACTAACCAATTTGGTTTTATTTTTTTCTTTAATTTGAATGTACGTTAAGTACCTATTTGCAAAAAAATATAATATGTATACTCTTTAAGGGGGATAGCCACTGTGACGGCCGAAAAAATGAGTGATTTTCGGGATTTTTTTTGACCGGGATAATTAAGGAATATGGGGATCACGTTTTTTTATTATACACAATTATCAGCGTTGCAGTAGAGTTTTAAAAAACCCTCTCGACGGTAGCATCGATTCCTCGAAAACGGGGTATATGAAAAAAAGGTTATTATAATGTATGAATGTGGTTACCGTTGTACGTACAAATAAAACAAAAAAAAATTGAAAATCGGTTGATAATAAATTGCTCGAGTTATCGATGCAACGAATTTGAATAGATTCGTTCTGAGAAAAACGCGTTTTAAGTTTTTAGTTCATTTTTCTTACTGTAAAATCATGTATCTTCTAAAATATTTATACTTACATCAAATTATCGAGTTCTGGAGGACTCGAAAATTTGATGTAATTATGGTCCACCATATGATGGCTCTTCCTTTTTATCTCGTGTTTTAAAGCACTCATATGTCGTTTAGGATCCATACATACACACATATATCTTCACCTTTTTCAATTTCAAGCAAGGACAGTCGGATAATTTTTTTTGATCCATCACATTGGCTATGCCCCTTAATACTCGTAGAACTTTTACCATTTTTTAGAATTAGATTTAGAATTAGAATTTATCATTCCTTTTGGTTTTAATTTGGGGGAATAGAGTTGACTGAATTTTTAGCATCCTACTGTTGGGCTCGTCCCTCAACTAAATTCAACACTGCCCACACACACACTGGGCTGCTGGTACACCACGGGTATACGTACAACATGTAGGTTTTCTTCCACACGATGTTTTCTTTGCTCTTATCAACAGTGGTAATAATGTAAGAATTAAGATTCGTACGCGAAAATCTCAAAGGTGCGAAACCCGCATTTGAACCTGCTTCTTTTCTGCCTATCTCTGAAGCAAGCGTGCTCTTACTGGGCAGTTGGGCACCTGCGGACATAGGCTAGTTTATTTTCTATTATAAGCTAATGATTATTTGTAAAATCTATACTAATACATATTATAAAGATGTAAATTCGTGAGTTTGTGACGTTGTAGGGGCTAAACTCTGGATCTACTGAACCAAATTTGGTAAGAAGATAGTTTGAGACTTTGGGTAGCACATAGGATACTTTTTGTACCGGAAATCATCCCTTAAGGAGGTAAAACTGGGGATGAAAGTTTGTATTGGGTAGCAAGCTAGGGATGAACGCGAGGGAAGCGAGGATAAGTTGCTAGTCTAATATAAAATTAAAATTTATATTATCCTAGTTTAAGAATTATAAATTGTGATGATAAAACATCAATTCCACATACAAGAAATTAGTTCAGTCCCATCAGGACACAGAACATCACAGAATGACTATATCTCCAGACGACATCCCTTCATTCCGCCACCGACACACCGTAGAAGACACCGTATGTTGATGGATCATCACAACATTGGGAGTTAGGGGCTCTCTGCCCTCTGGTCATCCCAAGGAACATTTTTACTCTAGGGAGGGTCATCCGCTATCAGTCTGCGGCAGATCGCTCGCAGACCGCAGCGTTGGTTCGCGGTCGACTTGCCCCTTTCCAGTTGCCAGTGTCCGCGCAACCGCCGCTGTAGTCGCTCGTGCGCTCGCATATTGAAATACATACTTATATTATTTTATTACGTCCTTGGATCTATTTCGATTATTCGCAGCCGCATCCGTGTGTGAGTATTATACTTCTATTGACATACAACATGTATCAATGGCCAAATATACATGATAAATATAAGACAGAATTATTGTTTTGTTAATGTATTAAGATTTAGGTACATATTATTTTTATTCAGTATGTAGTGAGAAAAAAATTATAAAAGCAAATTTTTATAAAAAAAACCTGATATCTGAATAACTCTATAAATTAAAATTAATAATATAATATAGAGCTAATCAGATTATACAAATAATTTTTACTTAAATGCATTTTTTCCCGTACGTAATAAACACTTAAATATTTCTATCCGAAATATAATGATTAAATACTAATTTATTTGTTCGTGCTATTAAGTGTCTGTCCGTAGTGCGCAGCGAGACGGCATTCCGCGGAGAGCTCTTAAATAATATTTGACGAGGCCAGTTTTTCCTCGCGGCGTCGCTACTCGCGAGTTGCGACGTCGCATGCTAATTACCTTTTGTATATCCGGTAGCGATTAGTAAACAAATTCAAAAAACTTAAAAGCATTGTAAATAAATAAAGCTGACATGATGCGTGACGTGACGTCGTGGGACACGTCTCTATAATAGAGCTTTACGCTAAATGACTAGACTGAATATTTTTTTTAGTTTTATGACTTAAAATTTAGTTTTTATGTACCTATATTCTACCTTGCTATTTTAGCGATAGCCAGATTTATGACAATAAAATAACATCGCACATCTGTGCGAAGACAGGACGACTCTAGATGAGAATAAACATAATAATGTTTAGTAAATATTTATATTAGAAAATACATTATAACTTAATATAAATATATGTGCTAAGACAAAACAATCTTATGTCGGTTTCGTTGTCGACGTGTACAAAAGTATTTTTCACGTTATATTTTCTCTTTTCAGTGGTTCAGCTCTATATTCTTTAAAATTCAGCTCATTTTGGTTTAAAACACTTTGCTCGTCTTCTAACAAACATATTAACCTTATTATTTATTATTAAACCTTTTAAATAAAATTTAGACTTTATCGCAGTTATATTTTGATTACTTGTCCTTGACGTTTTGAATACTTTACAGCAAACGTGTTTGCTGTTAATGTTATGTAAGTGCCAAATATTCGCGTAAATCTAAGAAAGAATACGTAGGTATTTTTGATAATGGCATTTTATCTTTTTAATATTTACTATTTGTTGCATAAAATTTAATGAACTAAATAGAAGCTAATAAGATACTCAGAGCTGACGCGTGATTCGCATCGTTAAAGGCACTTAATGATTAATGAATTAAAACCAATTGTGCGCAACCGACGGAATACAATACACTTGATCAATAGGTACGTATATTATTTTTATAAGTATATTCATTTTAACAAATCATTAGTTTTCTTACAAAACACAATAACAATTTTAATGTATTTTTTATCTCATATTATGATATTGTATATCGTCAGATCAACGTCATTGCGACGTACTCGACAGTGTCGTCCATACACAGTGTTAATTCATGTTTTAGATAAAAAAATTGTAATTAAAGTCGAGTTATGTAAACTGACACACCTCTATTATAATTTTAAACGTTTTTTTTAATTGTAAAGCGATCGACACGACGTAGTGAAAGGTCAACAGAGTTTTAAATTTGCATTCACAGTATGTCGTTAATTATACCTGTTTAGAGATATCGCATAAACATGCTTATCTACTATTACTAGCACGCCGCCCTGCCTTCTTTCAGGATTTAACTGCTGTTCTATGTTGTTTCTTAGTTTTATATATTCTTTTATATATACCACAGTTAAGACATAGATAAATATAATATCGTAACAGAAAGTAGTCGATGATTGTCTACTGGTAACTTCGCATGTGGTGTTGTTGATGAAAATTAATGACAAGAACATGAAAAGCTTATTACTCACTTTCTTAGACTCTACATACTACATAGAGATCCTATATAGAGGTTTTTTTAAATCAGTAGTGGGAATGTCAGCGTGTACACTAGGGGAAGCTGACATTCTGTTCATTGGATAAATAACCGCGAGTTTCTCACACTGACATAAATCATTTGCGGCTGATGAGTCCAATCTTACGCATCTCGGGCTAATTTATGATTATCACGTGATAGAGGATAGATCCTCCGGAACTTTCGAGACATATTGCACTTTAAAGTAAGTACAAAATTATTATTCTTTGGAATGACTCAGCGTGTGATAGCGCTAGATATTATAATTTTGTTACTCATTGAATTTAACAAAAATATTACAGACTCTACAAGTATTTTGCACATTGAACAGTTTTTCCTAACAGCAACACAAGGAATAGATTTAATTTCTAGAGATTAAATCTATTTATTTCGGCATAAGTAAATATAAACTGACCAATTTAAATGAGATGATATGTTTGTATGAATATGCTAATAAAATAATTATTTATATTATATCTACATATCAACAACGTTTGAAGAGTTCGGAATGTAACGTAAACATATAATCGCCCGAAGACAAGACCCGCCGGCTGCGGAATACAGAATGAGGCATGTTATACCTATAACCTAATCAGAATGTAAATGTTGTCAGCGAGTTATAATAAAGTCATCAAAGAGCGCTTGTTACGAATATTAGAATGAGCAGTTTCTAAATCTCACATCGAAAGTGTTTGTGAGTTAGGAAGTCTGGTAAAATTTTTATAGCCAAATCAAACTTTTAAATTATGCAGGTGCATCATAACTAATTTTCGGATTTTTCTTCCGGGTAAAAAAGTCCAATAATATTATTAAAATAGACCTGGAGTTCAAATTCAAAGAGACTTAATACTTTCTTAGATTTACGCGCATATTTGACATCCAAAAAAAGTATCTTTTCGGATTATTTCGTGAATTTATTTTGATTTTTATTACCTTTTTTTAAATTTGGATTTATTTTGCCCTTGAGACGTCTAAAATCTTACTCTCTCCCGTGACCATGATCGCTGTAAAGAACTCGAAAAGTCAGGAACTAAAAATCAAATTAAATTCGCGAAATAATCCGAAAAGATAGTTTTATTCAAAGAGAAACACTTCAATTCAAACATTTCGATGTACCTGACTTCGCCACTTTGTTATAAGTCATGTGTAAACTAAGAAAAAATAACCAATGAATATTGTTACATGTAGTTGAAATAAGAAATAGTGAGAAATCATGAACGAAGCTTAGTACTTTTATGACTTTTTAGTTTTTAATTAAAAATGTATCTTGTAAAGGACAGTAAACGAGGACTAATTAATTTTCATACTAATATTGTTTTCCTTTGGATATATAAAATACTTGAGAGCACTAAAGCGTATGAGGAATATGGTAAACTATTAAATCAAAGAAAAGTGTCGGTAAAAGTAGTTGGTAGCGTGTAGAGGGCGCGGCGAGGCGCGGGGGCGGGCGGGGGCGCGCGGGGAGCGGGGGCGGGCGCGCGCTAGTAAATAATACTACACTACTACTAAAATATGAATGTGCTTAACAAACTTCACTGACCTTTGAACTTTGAATCTATGATTGTGCCAGTGCCAGTGCGATATAGCTAATTAAAGTATAATGAAATTATTAAAATATATGTTATATGTCGTAATATTGTTTCTTTTTGTGCTGGCAGTTTATCTTGTTTTTGGAGTAAATAAGAGACACTCGCTAAATGTCAATGTAAACTTGAGTGTGATGATAAATAAATTATTTATTTATTCAAAGCGAAACTTAGGTTTGTAATTTTTTTTTCTTATTATCCTTCTTTAAAAACGCTTACATAAAGTTGGGCTAAACAAAGTGTCATTATGCCTACCGACTTGTTAATCTTACTTATATATAAATGCGAAAGTTTGGATGGATAGATGTTTGTTATTCAATCACGATAGAACGGCTGAACGGATCTGGATAAAATTTGGCACAGAGATAGATTATAGTCTGGAATGGCTCATAGGCTACCGACTTTTGTACCGGAAAAATGTACGGTGTCCGTAGTCCGGATAGTTTTGTTTTTTACTACGGACTCAAGCGAAAAGAGGGTAAGCCTCTAGCTGTTGAATAAATACAATTTATAAAATTTGCACTTCTGTGTATTTCTCACATGTAAAAAGTTTGTGCTATTATTTTAGAAGAAGGCAAGCTTACAATCTATACTATATCTATATAAAATGCTAAAAACCGAGTTAGGGGGATGTAAGAAGACAAATAGAACAAATCCATATTTTTTTCAATTTCTCTGTCTGTTTGTCTGTTTGTACGGGCTAATCTCCGAATCTATTGGACCGATTTAAATGAAATTTTGCATGGTGGTCTATCCCCGGTCAATATCTTAGATACTTTTCATCCCAGAAAATGAAAGAGGTCCCGTGGGATAGTTAAAAAACTAAATTATATTATACAGCTTAGTACACAATAACTTACGCACCTAATTTAGTAAAATTTAACATTCTGATACCTTATATTGCCGGTCAAACAACAGGTTACTTTTCATTCCGGAAAAATGAACGATTCCCGTGGTAACTAATAGATCTCTATTAGTGTTTTTCTAGAGGCGAACCAGAGCGAAGCGGGGGTGAGCCGCTAGTACTAAATAAATATATCAAATAATATATGACTATATTATTATCTTACTAAAAAGGTACCCACACCGACCGTCCCGAGTAAAGTTGGCCAAAAAAATTATACGTGTGCTGCAGAGTGAAGGTAAGGTTAAAAAGTAGTAAAGTAAAGATAAGGTTTTGAAGGCACTATTTAGTCTGTATGTTATATATCTGTATAATAACGACGTAGACTCAACAGCATTTTAATGTTTCATTAGATTGCGCAAGATCGCAAAACTTGGAAAACTAGAAGAGAGGCATTTGCCTAACATTGGGATGATGTAGACTAATAGTAATAGTGTTAGATTAAGCAGCATCTTTTCAGATAAAATCTGTATCTACGCCTATCAGTAGCTTCGTAAAAGCTCTAGTTTAAGAAAATACGAAGTGCAGAGTTCATTGCACTGAGAGGGTGGATACAATTACAAGTAACA